TCCTTTTCTTCTAATTCTCCTCCTTCTGGCTTTTTAATTATTCATTATCTTCTTCCTTCTTAAAGGACCACGTCAAAAGGCCAACAAGCTGAGTCAATGATGATAAGGTCAATTGTGATATTGTTAGTAAGAGCGATGTCCGCAAACCCCTTATTTTATCCTCAATTGTGAGGATAAAATAAGGGGTTGTGAGAATATATATATATATATAATCGATAATACTATGTCGTGAATGATAAACTTCAATTTTATTAGCATTTTGAAAATACTGAAATGCTACCATCAATATTTGAACATTTGCAATACACTATCCAAGTCAGAAATATTTTTTTTTTTAAATATAACATCAACTCATATTTAAAATATCTATTGGATCCTCAAGGTACCGATGCAATATAAATTTTAAATGTTGCGAACACATGATAGATTATGTAACAATGTTTAATTGTATAAGATATATTATATATTTGATCATATTTTAATTATGATTATAAGTTAATAAAAAATAAATACATTTAAAGTATGATTCCCTATGAGTTGAGGTGGGAAGGAGTCTTCTAATTATTTATCCTAAACTTCTTACTCTTTAAACCTTCTACGGGCTCAATAACATAAAATATGTATAATAATACAACATACACGATATTATAGATTTATTATTGTCTCTCTTTAGTTATTATTATATCATTTGTAAAGGATATGAAGAGAAGAGAATAAGAGTCTAATTCTCTGTGTGGCTTTATATCGCTACATTATATGAATTGAATTACAGAGTGCATTATCGGGTTAGAAAAGATTTTTTTGAATGATATCGAAATATATATACATCTTTATATTTGATATATGATTAGTGGATTTTAGTTTTTGACGTTAAAGTTTTTTCGCATAGTAATATGATTATAATTTTATGCTTATAATTGGTATCTGAGCTATATTTTAAAATCAAAATGATTTAAATCATAAAAGAATTTTAGATCTATTTATCTTTTGAATCATTATTTTAATCCTAGATTGATATTATTTTTGAACTAATTTATGATATATTATGTCTAGTATATGAATATATTTAACTATTTTCCTCACTTGCTTATGGGCGATGCAACATAGATAGAATCATAATAGTAGGTTGTAATTGGTAACTTGTTGTCAGCATTAATATTGTTAAGTGCAATGACCTACGTTGGTTGCTAACCCTATCGTAAGCAATGGCTACACAAGTGATAGTGTTATTATATGCAACAAATGTTGGTGGTGTGTGATAGCCGTGTTGTGGGCGATTGCTACTATTTTGTTGTTGTCTTGCATGCAACGAAGATTTAGCCAACACTCTGGTCATTGTCTTGTGTTGGTTGCAAGGGTTATAAGAGTGTCCTCATTGTGATATAGAGGTTGCCTAGACCACAACACTATTATCGTTAGTTGCTGTTATGGACAACATTCCTCCGCAGGCGATAGTGCTATATGCAACAATTGCCTTATGTGGTGTCATTATTATGCATGGCAGCGATGTTGTGTGCGACAGATGACATCAGCAGGCTACGTCACATGACTTGCGACTGGCTGTGTTAACAACATACAACATAAGTAACAAATGAGCTACGCACCGTGATGGTCATAGGTAGTGCATGACACTATGCGACACCAGGATTGATAGTCACACCAAAGGTCATCAGCCTGATAAGGAGTCGTAGTGGTTGAATGATGGACAATGATAGATGGTGGCAGTACTTTCTTAGATCGAAGGTGACATTTGAACATCGTCATCACCACTATAATGTCGCCATCGGTGAGGACTCATATGGTTGGGTGCACGCATGGGCACGATATAACACAATGGTAGCTGTGAGAGAGACGAATTATGGTTATGACTTTCACATAAGAAAAAGACCATTTTACCCTTTTGAATGATTTAATTCTGGTCGATATCCCCTTATGACAATTCTATGTTTCAAAAATCAAATATTTTCAATATATATTCTAATAAAATTATAGTTTTACCATTCAAAAGTCAAATATTTTTTACTTATGTCCTCAACTATAAAGTTGATAAATTTGACATGCTTTAATAAAAAAATTGATCGAAACATAATTTTAGCCTAATTTTTTATCAATTTATTTCTAAATTAGATTTTCACTAAATCTAATTTTGATTGAGTTGGCTATTGGGTCTAATTTGGGTAGCCCAAATGGTTTAGTCCAATTCAAATTATTTCAATATGATATCTCTAATTAAATAAGATTAATTGATATATTTAGGTTATTTATAAAATTTTTAAAAATATAAATTATAGAATTTTTTTATAGTTTTCTCATATGATATATTCATAATTTTGTTTGTTTGTGGTATTTAGTGAATATTATTAGTAACTTATATTTTTAAATTTTATCTAACTAGTAGTTGCTAAATATAAGTTAAGATGATAGACTTATCAAATGTGAATTACAATAAATACTTTACCTTTTATAAGATATTTTAAATTATATTTTATATTATTGTTTTGATTTTATAGTCACCAAAGTGGTCTAGATTAATGACTTATAAAATGACATTAAAGAATTAATCTTAAGTGATATTAAGAAAAATAATATTTATAATTACACATATAATTAGAAAATTTAGATAGGAGAATCTATTTCAAATAATTATTTAAAGTAGGATGATACTATTTTTGATATCCTTATAGTTTAAGATTATATACTCAAAGCTAGTAATATTATTATATAATAATGGTATTAGTCCTCCATAAATAAATTTGAATGAACGCTAAGGACATTAATATTTCACCTAAATATGAAATATAAAGGATATCAATAATTTATTATATTTTGAAAAATCAAAGCATTAATGCTATTTTATATTTTATAGTGATACTTTATTCCATAAACTCTTATACTTTTAGTATTAGAGCATGCATAGTTCACATAGTATGTATTAGATCTTAACCCGATATTACTTATTAAAATATTCATAAACTTGACTAACAAAAGTATTATAAAATTAATTAACGGAATGCATGCTTAAGAAATATCTAATAGGTTCTGTCTAATATTTATAAGAATAATAATCGTAAATAAAATTAAGACTTCATTACTACTTACAACTAGTGCTACAATAATATTTAAGAGCCATAGAAGATAAGTTTAAATTTGTTGATAAGTCATTAATTAACATATTAATCAAGAGATTTATGATTACATCCTTAATATGATAATAAGGTTGCAAATTTTAGAGGATTAGATATTAATATAGATGAGTCTTTCCTCACATAATTCATTCTTAATTATCTTTTTTCTTAGTTTGACATATTTAAGACTGATTACAATATAAATAAAGATAAATAAGATTTGAATAAGCTAAATAGTATGTATGCTTAGGAATAATTATAATGTTAAGTTAGAAAAAATCTTATAATGTTTTGACTAATAGTATTATGATACATGACATTATAGAAAAATCTAATAATATTATGATGCATAAAAGGAAGTATAACATTGAAGACATACAATCATATGACTTGTATTTATAGTCAAACTTAATAAAATATTATTATATTTATTATACTTATTGATTTATTTTTAAAAAATTATGATCATATATAAAATTATTTCTAAATTTTTTATAAGTCAATTATATACTTTTTAAACAAATATGTTTATTATTATTTATTTTTTAAATTTATTTTATATCTTACCAATTAATAAATCAAGTGAGAGAATATTAGATTATATGTCCTTATTTAATTGGATAAGATATATCGATTGAATTTTGAATACGATTATAGATATTTATTTATAGTAAGATTCCTTATTATATGATCTTGATGAGAGGGAATCTCTACTTATCTTAGGCTTGGTGCTTTTGCATAGAAATGAACAAGACCTCAATAACATATAATATATGTGATTATAAGTATATTCTCATCTCTCTTTATCCTTATTTCATTACTTATAGTGATTCTTGAATGATATAATAAGAGGAGAATGAGAGTCTAATCTTATTTATACATATACATAGTAAGGATTGGATCGCGGAATGAGTTTTTAGATTAGAAAATATTTTTAAAATAAAATCAAAAGGTACACACATTCTAATTTTTGATATATGATATTGATATTAACTTTTTTATAACTATAATATAAACATAAAACAGTAATATGATTATAATTTTATGCTTATAATGCACCAAGAGACCTCAACAGTTTAACTGTCTATTTTAATTTGGATGTTAATCTATTCACGAACCATACGGGACATGTGTATTATATGCTTGTCAATCATATTGATAATAATTTTCACTTCAAATGTTTATCTACTCCAACCCATGTCTTATTTTTATCTCTTTAGAATTTATCGCTTTACATCCATGGAATTCGATCAGGGCAAGAACATTGAATGACTTTAGCATTGAGTCGACATCATGGGCGGTTTCCAAGATGCCAAGTTTCTAGTTTTTCCTCATCCTTATTTTAGAAATATATAAATAAAATCTAAACTTTTTAAATGTATAAAAAATCATCACAATTTTAATTTATAAGTTTTCATCAAACAAGTCAAACTAGTTTGGTGTTAAATCAGGCCGATTACATTGCTTTTACATATGGTTACACTATTTTTTTTGGGTCGATCGAACTAATTATTAATATTTTCCGTTTCTCTCTTTGGTTTTTTGGGGTATATTTGCATCAATATATATATATATATATATATTATAGTGTTATTTTTATATATTTTTTAATTTATTTTAAGCTAGTTAAAAAAAATATATATATTACAACATTTTTGTGTAGGAAGAAAGGGAACGGCTCCCATCATCATGTATGGTCGACCACGTGGCAATCATCAAGGCCCGTAGGATACGCAAAACATGCGCATCCCGTGCGTCGGTGAAAAGGGGAGGCCTTTGCATCCGCCTATTATACTCGTTGCACACAAACACGGTGATCGACCACTAGAGACGTTCCATGTACCCCTCATTCCTATTATATTGCCTTCGCTGCCCCTCTTTCTTCCTCTCCTCTGTCTCCTCCCGTCTCTCTCTCCTCTCCCCACAGCCCCTCGCGGAAGCCTCTTCCGGCGGCGATTCCGCATCTCCTGGCCCTTCCGATCGCTCACGGCCGCCGTGATCTGCCGGAAAACTCCAGGGACTTCGTCGGCTCTCGACAAGTTTGACGAGGTACGGAGCGGGATGCTTATTCTTTTCTAGGGTTAACGGTTCCCTTGGGGTTTGTTCTATGATTCGGCCTGGGAAAACCAGCTACAAATGGCTATTATTGTGGATCTTTTTATCACTGTGGTTGTCTACTGTTTGGTTTAGAAATTGATTACGTCTGATTGAGTTACTCTTAATGATCGTCTTCTGTGACTCATATCGTTCTTGATTTTTTTGATCTATGACGATTGACTTCAGTTACAGATGTGGAGATCTTTTTCCGCAATTTTTTTGGACGCATATGAATTAGTTATGCCCGAGAAAGGGAGAAAGGGCGGGGGGCTCTTTTTATGTATCCGAATATGACAAATTGTTGACGTTGCTTCCACGATATAGGCCCTTGGTACATGTAAGTTAATCTCCACCAATCAACTAGGCGATCCATAAGATTCTTAACCATCTATTAGGTCTTTTTGAGCACGCTGTCTGAAAAAGGAACTAGTCATCAATCGTTGGGCTTGGGAAGATAACGAAGCCATCGGTGACACATTCTGGAACATTTGGTTATGGTATTAAGATTTGAACTATTGTTGAAGAAGTAGATTGCATCATTAAAATGGCATTTTCTTTAATCCAAATATCACCCTTAAGCAGCACCTAGTTTCTTCTCAGTTTTCTTTTCTTAATTTGAAAATGTCTTAAGATATGGTTTCTGGGGTACAAAATTTATAAATGATGATGAAAATAGATTGGATATTTGTCTGAATCCATTTCCATTGGATTTGGATATAATTACATAGTATACATTTATCTTATAACTATCTCATACCTATGGTATACATTTATCTTATATTTGTACCCAGTTTATCTTGTAGCTCTTTTATAGATATGGCTTGTTTTTTTTTTCCATATCCAATATCTGAATTCAAGATATGTCTTCTATTTCTGACTTGTGCTTGACTTTTTGCCGGTGATATATATATGATTCATGCATCTATTTAAGTATTTATACATGAAATCGGATTCAAATCCGTATTTGTCATGCATTTTATCTTTGTTGTTGTTCGTGTCAGGTCAACCCACTGCACGAGGTTCTCACCAGTGTGGGTCTAGATACTCAACCCTGCAAGTAGAGAGGCTGTTTCTGTAGCTTTAAGCTACCACCAAAAAAGAAATCTCACATGCTATTTGTTTTTTAAATTTACAAGTGCTGATTAAAGGTGTATATTGTTGTGTTTTTCTAATGTCCATTCTGTTTCAGCCATTTTAATTATGAATTGTGTGGGTAAGCTTGTAATTATTTGATTTTTTTTATTCCTTCACACTGGCCTGAAATTTTATATCTTCAATGTGTACATGTACTCTAATTTTATTTCTATTTTTCCAGCGCAGGGTAGCATGATTTTAGTGTTAGATGATTTGACCATATCAAACGCTTATGTTCCAGTGTTATTAATCATGAATTAGGTGTAACATGAAAAGATTATAGGCTTTATTACATCTTCTGAGAAGGTTATTTATACGTTTAGCAAGAAAGTTACGCTCTAATCCCCTTATGTGTCTAAATTATGCTATCCATCAGTACACTTCCGCAAATATTAATATGCATGTACATATTGTTCATATAAAAGGCTTGAATATTTTCAATAGCATTAAGCTCTGAATAGTTCCAACTCAGACATGAGAAAATGGAGTGCTAGAATGGAAGATCCACATTATTGAACATAATCTCATGCATTTTACATAATTAGAGCTCAAACTCAAGTCTTATCATTGTTTATTACCATTGTGCTTGCAGTTATTATTTTATAATTTCAGGAAATGAGGAACTTTGCCTTTTAGTATATAAGCATTTGCTTTTAGCACAATGCACCTTAAGTCACAGACAATAAGAAAGCCTCAGGCCTCATTGGAGCCTTGCTTGCCGTTTTTTTTGAAATTGATGGCTTCCCTTGATATAGTCCTGTTTTCACTTTAGACAATTATGACTTATCTATGATTTGTAGTAATTGAAGTCAACATGGTTTCCTTGAGTGACATATCTTGATCTGATCTGGTAGATCTAGATCTGGATGTTGGGTTTGCTTATGATTGATTTCTCAGCCTTCCTGTTAAACCACTTGTGGCTTAACTGGGAATCGATGAAACCAGATTGTTGAACAACAAGAGAGAAAAAAAAGCTGGAAGCAGAACATGACTGTGGGGAGGCCATTTCAGTTGTTGTGGTGATCTAACAAGAAGAAGAGGAGGTCTTAGAACAAGGAAAGAAGTTTGTGAAGTGGGAGTAGTGGAAAGAAATGAAGAAAAAGAACCCTTGTATTCTCTCGATCTATACCTTTCAATTGTTGATGACCGACTCTTTGTGATTGTTGATTTAGCCTCATGCAGGTGACAACATACACAGGAATAACCTATGGGAGTTTGCAGTGAGAAACAAGTAGGATTGGGAGAGACTGGAATGGGATGAACTGGGCAAAATTTGAAATTAGCTAATGCTTGTAAAATGTTTATGAGAAACATTTTTCTATTTTAAATCTTTTTGTGTACAGCATTTTTGTTGCAGCATATTATAAAATTATGATTCTTTCCAATATTTCCTATTTTTGTAATTTGTAACTTTAGTCCTAATATATATATATATATATATATATATATATATATATTCTCAGCTTGTTAAAATTCAGATTCTAGAAACTGTAGCTGATCCAAATGTCAACTGTAGTCCTATGAACTTTGGTCATAATTTCACTGGATATGATCCAATTGATTATGACTGTAATTTGACATGACCTACTCAATTTTGGTCTATAACTTTGCTAGATTACTGGCAGTGACTAGAAATAGATTAGGAGGTTCTTGCTGATTCAAAGATTTTTCTGCCAGCATTTGTTGTTGTCAGCTCTGGCTGCTATTTGTAGCAGATGCAGATGTGGGATTCTTTTTTCTTTTCTGGAGGTGGAGGAGAGGATAGTGAATTAGAAGTTCGGAGAAGAAAATTAATGTTGTTGTCAGCAGCTCATGTCGCTTGTTGATCATGATTATTGGAGATAACTGGAGACTGTCTGAGATTTTGGATCTCAATACTGACCATTATGTGGTTTCAATGGTTATTGGATTTGCAAGCTCTTCCCTCATCCATTATTATTATTCTAGATCATATATTTCTATCTTAAATCTTGTTAGCAGGTGAAAATACTCCACAATCATTCTTTAAAATGGAACCATCAATTCCCACGATACAACTGTCCAAATCTCATTTGTACTTTGCTGGAGTGGGGGGATGTGGTCCAATGACTTATATATTAAACATGAACAAGGCAACTATAACACTGTGGACCAAGTTCATTTTGCCAGTGAAGTTGCCTGAATTGAGACATAGGAAGGGTTTGCATGCACCATCAACCATATTGAATAAATCTTAATTCTCAATTCAATATACTATTTTCTTATGTTTCAATTCTCCAAGTTATATTTTATTACTTTAAAATTATTTTGGTTGATCTTAATGTACTGATCTCAATCCTGAATCCAAGCCCATCCCCTGGCCTTGCTGAACTTGTATGAGATGTTGCACTTTAACTGACATTTCATGTGATATATACTAAACATACATTTTCTCTATCATACTATTTACTGTGACAAAAACAAAACATCAGTGCCAAAAACTTAGAAGTCATGGTTTTTCTTGTTCGGTAGTCACTGCATTGCCAGTGTCTTCTCCTAGTACCGATTGAAGAACATTTTATGTTATAGTGACATAATTTAACTGTAAGAAAATGAGGCTGCCATTTATCCTTTTCATGCTCTCGTTTTCGCCAACCCTACCATCTCATCAACTCACCACTCAAGCCACCACCTTTGCCTTTGATATTATCAAACCCTTGACCACTATTGTGTTTTTTAATATATAGCTTTCTTTCTCCCATCTATGCACCTTAGTTTTCTGTCTCTTGAATACATTTATGTTCTTGTCTCCTTTGTGGTCTTACTCCCCATCCACCTACCATAGTCACCAACACCTTAGTGACTTATCAGTTATCACTATTACTCTTGGCCATCTTTATTGGTAATGTCGCTCACAATATTTTTACCATGCCACTTGATCAATTTGCGCATCCACCTGTTCTGCTTAGTGGCAATGCCACTTCCACTATTGCCACAGTGCATTCTTGTTGTCCACCTGCTTTTTTGGTTATTTTTCATACCTACTATTTTGACACTATTGATAACAATGGCGGCAAAGAAGTTGAGGAAAACCGGTGATTGAGTTATGTTACATTTCTTTTTCTGATAATAAGAAATATAACCTCGCTGCTAAAGGAATTTTATGATAGTTTTTTTTAATTGAATGAGGTTTTTGTGGGCCAAATTGCAGATGTTGATAATGTAGGAACTTTATACAATACAACAACAACAACGTAGGTAATTTGTTGGACAAACAAATTTTTTATTAGGTTCTCTAAAAAATCTTGGATTAAGTCACTGTGTCAGATGCTATCTGAAGCTTCATTTGATTCTACAAAAAAGCAAAATAATGTCAGGTGTATTCATCGATATTCTTATGCAAAAGTACTTCTTTCTGTTACTAATGATGAAGTTATTTTTTATTTCAGGTGGTGATTTTCTATAAGTTTTGATGATCCAAGAGCTTTCACCATCTTATGGCTTCAAATACTCTGTCTGGAGATCGGAGGTTGATGTCTTACCATCTGGATTTTGTTTTTTTAATCCATTTTTCATTCAATACTATTATGCATTGTATATAACTCCTGGGTCAAATATTTTTAATAATGAGCCAAGCTCTATTGGGTGAGTTCTATAATTTGTTTGGTATTGTTTGGGATTAGGATTGGCAATCTAGACCAAGGGTGATATTGTTGGTGTATGTAGGATTGATCAATCAGATGACGTTGGGATTGATTGACAAAATAATTTGAAATAAAAAATGATAAACATTAGATCAAACGAATGATTGTAAATTAACTATATATGCTAAAATATTTTTTTAATATTCCATAAGATATCTAACTTCTCGATAATATCATAGTGCAGTCTATAAAGAAAAAAAGAAGGCTATGCTATAATTATCATGAAATTAAAAGATAGTCATATCATACAAAGTTAACTGTTATATATGATATACAAATGATCTAAAACCTATCTGCCTGCATTACTCAAGATGGTGGTGGTATGGCCTTGCTGCCTCTTCAATTACCATATGGATAAAGGTAGTGCAAAGATAGGTAAAGAAAGGACTGCCTGAAGAGAGTGCTTACAAGATTTCAAATTTATCTTGATTTTTATGGTGTTTTCCTTCTTTGTCTCGACATTTCTTTTAGGAGGACAAGAAGTTATCCTTCTTGTTTCCTCTGCTTCCATCTTTTGGCTCTCATGCAGTGGTGGATGGTGGTTGGAAAATGTGGCGATGACAAATGGTTAATGTGTCAATGACATCTCCTCTTTAACATTATAGGCACAATTTCCATGCTTCATTTTTGTTCATCATCTTCCTTCATATCTTCTACTCATACAGTTCCCCTTAGTGATAGTTGTCATCCTCAGCCAACTCCTTTTTTCTTTCAAGGATGACAGGTGGACAAATTAATTGGACTTGGTTTATACTGCCTGAGTATGGTTGAATCCAGATGATTTTTTAAAATTCCAACTGATATTGTCATAATGCAAAGAAATCATCTGAATTTGCACCGAACCATATTAGGGTAGGTTGATATGACAAACTATGTTTGATAACACCTAAAGCTGTGGAATCAGCTTTGGTTTTTTCTAATGGTTTTAATTCCCAATCTCCATTCTTTCAATAAGTAGCATTATGATTGTGATTACTGGTGTGTAGAAGTATAGAGACTCAACCTTTATTAGAAACCATTAACAGTGATTTATAATTTCTCAAAATTTGACTAGTGTTATTGTTCTCAACAGAAATAGATGACAGGAAAGTATTCATTACAACTTCTTGTTGTTGGGAGAATTTGTCACAATTTGGCTAAGTTAGACCCTCTTTTTTGCCCACTATCATAGTTACTTTTGGTTGAACTTATATAATTTCTCTGTATATAGTGTATGTGCCCTATTCAGGTCACATGCATGTGCATTTGGATGTCTGTGCCATTCTGCTTAACAAAAGCTGTGTTATTTTGGTTGAAGAAGTCTTGTGTGATGAAACCTTCAACGCTTAGTTTTGATGTAAAAGTGAAATTGTATACAACACATATAATGGCTAATATGGTGCTCTTTTATTTTGCTTTTGGTGTAAAACTAAAATATTGTACAGCACATATACGGACTTCCTTTGGCTATTTGAAAACCTGAACTCATGACGTTAGTATACATTGTTTATGCTACAGAGTATTGTAATGGAACTATTCTGAAGGATGACTATAAGTACTATCATTTTTCCTCTGGGGAAAATGCAAAACCCACTGACTGGCAATGCCCACTTACTGTAAATGATATCTTTTGTGTAACAACAGACAAAGAATTGTACTGACTTGTTCATACCTTGCAGCCTATTTGCTTGTTATCATGGTAATAGAAATCATCCCTTTTTCTTTACTTACAATCAAGATTGTCTTGTCCTGTTTTTCAGTACTTATAAGTGATTTTTTTTGCCATAGCTGCACTAATAGATGATCAATCTCTACAATTTACTTGTTAGATGGGCTTCTGCACGAAAGTCGGGCATGACTATCTTGGGCAAAGTACCAAAACCCATCAATTTACCGAGTCAAAGGTAAAAATTTATTCTTTGTACCAAAGCAAAAGCTTATTGATGTATGTAGCCCACAATATCTAAATTATCTTTTTTTTATCGCCTTTGAAGGTTGGAGAACAATGGTCTTGATCCAAATGTGGAAATTGTTCCAAAGTGAGGCTATTGCTTCATTACATTGTATTACTTTCATAGTATTTCATACTGTTGTTTTTTCATAGTTCAGTATAGTCAATTGCAAGATTTTCTAGTTTATTCTAGTAGCAATATGACTCTGCTTCATATTTTAGGGGTACACTTACTTGGGGAAGTCGATCATCTTCAGCAACTCCAAATGTCTGGAGTTCATCAACATTACTATCACCTAAGACTGATGGAAGTACTGGTTCACCAAGTCACTATAGTGGTCGCCCATCATCTGGAAGTGGTACAAGGCCATCAACGGCAGGTAGTGATAGGTCCCAAGACCCTTCACCCAATGCATGGGGTTCAAATTCACGGCCATCTACAGCATCTGGATTATTGCCATCGAACCAAACACCAATTGTTTCAGCTCGTCCTCGAAGTGCAGAAACAAGGCCAGGTAGCTCTCAGTTGTCTCGATTTGCAGAAAATTCATCAGAATCTGCAGTTGCATGGGGGGCTACTAGAACTGCTGAGAAATTGGTACTTCCCTAAAAGCCAATCTGTTTGATGCTCAAATCTCTAGAAGGCATTTTTTTGCAACACCTGCAATTGTGCTTTGATGTTCATTTTTAGCAACATCTGCCTTCTATATCCTGAATCCAAACTTAATCCCTATTTCTGGCATGCAACCTGACTTTGTATCCTTTTAGGGGGTTGGATCATCAAAAACTGATGAGTTTTCCCTCAGTTCAGGAGATTTCCCAACACTAGGCTCTGAGAAAAAGTCCGAGTCACACAGTCCGCAAGGTGATTACTTTTTAATCTTTTTCTTGTCTGTGTATCAAAGGTACTAAATGTTGGATCTAAGTTGTATGTTGATTAGTGCACTGCAACTTTGAATAGTCTAGTATTCTATATACTATGTATTGTGTTAAGGATTAGCTTGTGTGTGTCCTTGGGGCATTGTGGTAGGTTCTGCAATGGGTTGCAACTTGTAAGATATACAATGAAATTTCATTAGATGACTGTAATTCAGACTTTTTTTAAAAACTTTTGTGTATGATAGAAACAGAGTTTCTAAGTCATGTCATCTTTTATTTTATTTTCTTTGTCATCTCGGGATCGCTCTTTGCAAAGATTGGACGAATTGTTAGTTGACATACATTTTGCATGAAAATTTTTTGTGCCTTATTAAAATTGTGCCATTTTTTGTTGGTGATAGTTTAGAGAGTTGGTATAGCCTTTAGTTTAATCTTGAATTTATTTTAAATCATGTTGGATTTCATGGAGATGTTCTTATTGGAAAGGATAGTAATCATGAATACGAACTTGTCCGTCAATATGATGTTTAGCTGTCAGCCACTAGCAAAACTAAAAGAGCATTAAACTAGTTCACGATTAAATTAATTTTAGCAGAACTGAAATTTAAAAAAGGCCAACAGAAGTACCAAGAACAAAACTTTACTATTTGAAACAACTAAAATGGAACAGTATATTGATCTTTTAGAAAAGGCTATTGTTCAGTGCTTGTCCTCTTTCCAGCAACCACAAAATTTTAGAGGTTCCGTTCTCTACTTTATGAGCTCAATGTTGTTGCTTTTTGCATGAAGCATTTTTCCCTTTATTTGTGTATGAGACATCATAATGTTCTATCGTTCATTGATATTTTGTCTCAAACACTAATTGGCTTTTTAAGGGGTGTAATTATGACTTTTAGCTACTTTTTGTGTGTTAGACAATAGATCTAAGCATTTTTAAAAGTCTTTATTATATTATTTTTGTTGGATGAGACATTATTTTATACCATTAAATGCTAAGAAGCTAGGCCTGACCATGGTTTGAACCGAACCTGAACTGAACCGGGTCGAAACTAGAACCGAATTGACCTGGCAGTTTGTAGGTCCCAAATTGAACTGGAATTGCTGATTTTGAAACTAGTGGTTCAGGTTCCAGTTCCAATTCGAACCATCAGTTTCATAATTTTAAATTAATTTTATTATTCGTAAATAAATTTATGATTTTTTATTTTTAAACATTTGAATTAAAAATAATAAAAAGTTGGCGGTTCGAACTGGAATCACCGGTTCTGGTTCCAAAACCGGCTCATACTGGATTGGATCTGATTCTTGGTTTGGAACTGTTGGTTCTGGAATCGTGGTCAGGCCTAATAGAAGCTCTTCACTTAAACAACTAAGAAAAGGGTCATTGGTGGAGACCTTCATATGGTTTTCAAACTTAAAAGAAGCATCTAAATGTTATATAGAAAATGCAGCTAGATTCATAATATTAAGGTTCGATGAGTATGTTGCAAATGAACATGTAAAGTGTGTGAATTCAAGTTGACAAAAATCAATGGTGAACCATGATGGGTTTGCATAAATGATCAGTGCTAATGACTCTGCTAGTAGTTATGGGTGAGCTTATTAATGATTGGTATTATTAGAGCAAGGTTTTATGGTGTGATACGACAGAGAAAAGAGGAAAGTATGAATAAACTTTAAGCTAGAACATTTAGTATGGTGGTTTAAGATTATTTAGATATCGAACATTGCCTCCACAATAAGGATACTCTTTTGCAAGCTAGGCGACTAGCTTTTTAAAACAATATCTCTGCTTGTAAAGGTGAGGCTATGGCAACCCTGCATTGGAGGGGCCTTCACGCACTACCTAGACTACATGGATTACTGAACTTGTTTGTTTTAGCGTAAACTGAGTACATGTTGGAATAAGATTGCATACCATGCATTAGTGGGAGCTTTGTCTATATAGGTCTGCCCCTTAGTTATATAACTGGTTGGAAATGCACTGTGCATAAAGGCTGTTTGAAAGGAAAAAAATTATGTTTATTGTATTTTGGAAGATCGTTCTATAAATATTGGCTAGATTACAAAATTGAGGAAAAAATTTTAAAGATGTATAAAATTTTAAAAAATGCTAAAAGTGCTTCAAGTATATGACAAGGTTCAAGATTTATGATAATTCTCAGAATAAGCTGGATATTGAGGATGAAGAAAATTAATTTTTCTTCGAATTACTAAAACTAGTGAAAAAAGTGAATTTACATAAAAGATGAAGATTAAAAGATACTTGTTAATGATATACAGATTAAGGAAAGACTGAGAAGTTATTTTTATTTATGAACATTCAATAAATAACTTAGCTCTTAGAGATAAATAATAGTCTTAGGTCTAACAATTATGGATTTGTTTATAAATTTAGAACAAACAAATGAGGTAGAAGAAGCTTTAAAGATGAAAATAGATAAGAGTGTAGGATAGATAATAATCTTATTGATGTTCAAAAAAGTTTGGGACATCAAGAGAGAGTTTAGTAGACTAGTTTCTTCAATAAAGTTTTAGAAAAATAATAGATGCCCTATGTATGAAGAGTTATTTAGTATCAACATGTAAAAATAAAGGATATATCTAGAACTATTTTAGTTATAGAGTAATTAAGGTAATGAATCTCATTATAAAATTTTGAGAAAGAGTAACTAAAAATGTTATGAGAAGTGAAAAAATACATCTAAGAATCAATTTGGTTTTATGCTTGGTAGATGCAGAAGCTATTTATTTATTAAGGCAATTAGTGAAGAATTATAGTGAGCAAAAGAAAGGATTGTATATGTTTTCTATAAGCTTTAAAAAAGATAGAACCCCTAAAGATTTATTTGATGAGATTTAAAAAAAATATAAATCTACTAATTACATGTACCTTGAAAGATATGTATGATAATATAGGCACTAGTGTTAGAACTGTAGGAAGAATTACTAGCGAAGACTAACTAAATGGGTAGTTGGGTACGAAGAGAAAAATTGCAAATGTAGTTAAGATGGATACACAATTAGTTCCAATAAGAGTTTTAGGTATCTTGGTTCGATTATAAACAAAGATATAGATACTCTTGACTTAACTAATAATATTGCTTTGAATAGAGCTCAATGGCATTAAAAATCTATATAACCAACCCCCAATAGTTGGGATATTATATAACCAATCCCAAATGCATATTATATGTTGACTATGCTCAGATCTTGCATTAGCGGTATCCTCATGCATTGGCTAACCCATTTTATGTTGCCAAATTTTTTTCGAGTTAAAGAGGAAATCTAATGAACCATGCCATGGTTATAACTTCTAATATGTGAATTCATTATACCTGTTTATGAATTTAGCGTTGCAGAAATAAATAGTGGAAAAATTAGTTGTATGGGATAATTACCTTTGCACACTTGTGAGGTAGGACTTTGATTATAAACAAAGATATAAATACTCTTGACTTAACAAATATTATTGCTTTGAATAGAGCTCAATTGGCATACACAATCTATATAAACCCCAAATAGTTGGGATATTACATCTTGTTGTCTTGTATATTATAGTTTGACAATCCTCAAAACTTGCATTAGCGGTAGCCTCATGCATTGGCTAACCCTTTCTATGTTGCCAAATTTGTCTCAAGTTAAAAAGGAAATCTAATGAACAACACTCTGGTTCTAACTTAATATGTTAATTCGTTATACATGTTTATGAATTGAGTGTTGCGGAAATAAGTAGGGGAAAAAATGTTGTATGGGAGAATTACCTTTGCACACTTGTGAGGTAGGACTTCATTTACTTCTTGTCTGTGATATGACAGTTATATGCACTCTTTTTGTCAATCACCTGCCATTAGCAGACTGGGAAAATATTGGTCGTAGCATTTAAGATGCCATTTGAGCAAATCTGGGTAATGAAATAGTAATTTGGAGGGAAGGATAAACTCTGTAAGATGTATTTCTTCGTCAATTATTTTGCTATTTAATGTCAAGATGTTGACAAATATTTAGTTGTGTTTCTTTTTGGCCTCTATTTGCTGTTGAGCCTTTGTGGTGGTTGAAAACGCACCGACAATTACAATGCCATAAATACAGTGGAATTAAGCTTAATTGGTGCTTGTTTTTTATTATATAACTTGTGCAATGGGTTGTCACCCTTCTGCACTCACCTTAGTTTTAACTTTGAAGTATTACTTCTTACTAAACATCAGTAAATTACAAAGCAACCACAAGTAGGTCACATAAAGAGTAACCTGCATAATAAATATTTCACAGGTGGACAAAATGTCATGACCTAGAGCATTATCAGTGTAGGTGCAAAACTGCTGCATCTCATGTGGGTAAATGTGATTTGCCCATATTCGTAACCTAGAATAATTTGTAATGATTAAGTCAATCTATAGTACATGTTTGAGTTGATTTTTAGATTGGCCTTGTCACAATGTAGTTACAGATGAGACCGGTGGTATTGTGAAAGCACCATGATATGCAAATTAAAATAGAATACATATCACAGGATCGTGGTGATCAAGTTCAAAACTTATATAAGCTAGGTCATTACAACCATGGATCAAGATGTATCATCTGATATTTTTTGTCCTTGTCACATCAATGTTCTCAAAATTGATTTCCTGCATTCTAATTTGTTGTTCAGCAGACTTCTTGCTTTTTTCTGATTGACATCATGTGTTCTGCATTAGTGTTCTTTCCCAAATTCAGTATTTTTGTGGTCCACACTTAGCTTAAGTTTGTTGAAGCTAAAGAGAATTGAATGGGAGAATTGTAAGTAAATGGATATCTTTTTACTTCACAATGCCGAGATGGTTTTTTGATCAGTGTCTCTCACTACCAGGTCACAATTCCCAATCACCCTCTGCTGCTGCTTCTGGTGCATCGAGACCCAATGAAAAGCTAGAACTTCCTGCGAGTGGTAGGTTGCTGTGACTTTATAATCCTCTGGAAAGCACTGTGCTCCATTCATTCACTAACTTATGCTTTCAGTTTCTGATTTGTTTACTCTTGTCTCATTACAATGTGAAATCTGTTTTATGAATTCCAGGAGATAGTTTTGTGGATAATGAAAATGCTAGTACTTTCAGAACAGAGAGAAATTCATATGTTGAAGGTGGTGGTGGTGCTTTACTAAATCAAAAATGGCTGAATAACCCACAGCAGACACAGCCATATCAAAGCTCAAAAGTGACATCTCATCAGTTCAATTCTTGGCATCGTCCTTCAGGCCAGCATCCTGATGGGGTTTGGTATAGAGGAGGGGCAGTAGGTGGCCCATACCGACCAGCAGGTCCCCCAGGCTGTTTTCCTGTTGATCCTTTTACATACTGTCAACGTCCATTCCAACCTAATTCTGAGGCTATTCCAAGGCCAGGAACTGGATCGGGCACTTACCATCCTACAAATGGAGAGACATATCGTCCTCAAGTTGTTCCAAATTCGTACATGTTCCCTAGTCATTCTCTTATTCCAGCTAGACCTGGGCCTTACCAAGCTTTGGGTCCCTATGATGGATATCATAACTATCATCAAGCAAGCTTTTGCAGTTCAGGTGAACAACAAATCCCTTCAACAGAAGTGTCTACTCGGCCAAATTTGTATGATGAACATCCTAATCATAATAACAATTTGACCTCAGTAGAGTTTCTGAATATCCCTGGTCGAGATGATTCACAACTGACCAAGGAACCAATATTATCTGATAGAGCTTGTGTTCCTCATCAAGGGCACTACAAAGTTTTGCTAAAGCCACATGATGACTTGAAAGATAATCACCCACAAGGGAAGGGGCAATATGGTTCATCTTCTCCAAGGCATTTTGATTTAGAATTCAAACCAGGAGATTCCAATTCTAAGGAGGGTGAGCTGTCCATAGCTGGCGGAAAGAATGAAACAACAAAATCTGTTACTTTGACTGATTGCCAGGCTCCGACCGAGCTAGTTGGTAATCATGAAGATCAGCTTTCAAAAGTTGGTGCCAATAACTTGGGAAAAAATAAGTGCAGAACATCCGATGGCCTGCTGAGGAGAGAACCAGGTATTACAATTCCAGTGGTTCAGGATCAGAAACATTATCCCATTATGAGAAAGAATTCTGCACTGATTGAAAAGATAGAAGGCTTAAATAACAAAGTGAGGAATGCTGATAACCTTGATGTTGGACAATTGCCACTTAGAAAAGAGCAAACGAAACAACAGAAGTTTGCCAATGCAAAAACTGAACGTCCTGCACAAGCTACTTTCTCTGATGCTGCACCTACTGAAAATGCTTCTACATCTAGTGTTACACCTATGTCTGTTTCTTTTGAGGGGAGTTCCATAAATGGCCCTATATCAAGTACTATGGTGATGCCTGTTTCTTTTGATGGTGGTTCTATAAATGTAATTAATAATTCTAATGAATTTATTGATTCAGCAGTTGTCCCTGGGACATCAGAATATCAAGATTTTGCCCTAATGAAGCCTGATTCTTTGATACCTGGTGAAGCAGTTTATTCACATGTTCCAAAAAGGATCATTTCCACACGAAGGAATAATTATCAAGCTAAGCCATTATTAGATAATCAGGTCGATGGTGGATTGACAAGAGAATCGTCTGGAAGAGATTCCTCTGTCATTCCCGTTGAGAAAAAAGTTGCAGATGGCCCAGTCTCCGGGATTCTTGATAATCACTCTTCTAAGGAGACTGTTTTGACATCCTCTTCAGATCTACTTGATCACAGAGCCCAGGTATGTAGCTTTTATTTACCTTGGCATATAGAGAAATTGTTTGGTACACAAAACAAGGTGATAGTTCTCCATCTCATCACATGATAGCTCAGGTTTCCATGTTGAATAGATTAAATTAGATTTTCAAGGAAATTTACATCTCTTGATTTGAGCATTGCACACCTTCCAACAATTTGTGATTATTACTGCTGCTTGATGTTTTTGGATTATATACAGATGCCCACAACTGACATATTTTGAGATGTGTCTGCTACAAAAGTTGGCTTGTCTAATCCAGAAACGTTGGTGTTTTTTCTGTGCTCGGAGTACATGAACATGCTCAATTTTATTGCAAATTTGTACATGTGTATGGTGCAAGCTCATCATTTTATTAAAACAGACTTAACTGGTCCTTCCAAGGGGTTTGTTAACACACAAAACAAGCCTGTGTGTCATGTTTGATTTGAAAGAATATCTGGATAAACGGTGAATAGGCCTGTGTTGTTTGACATTGTCAATAGAATCGTGAAAGTTGAACATTGTTCTTAACAAATCTTACGTGATAAAGAAAATAAAATCTGGTAGAAAGAGACAACAATAGAAGTTGCAACACTTGGTTGAAAAGCATCATGCATATTTTGAACATGTTTTTGAGAGAGCTAAATACATTTTGTTTCAGCAAGGTTATTATTTTGGTGCCATATATGACATGGACCTAATATGCTTATGTTCAGCTTGTTCCTACTGTTTCTATATGATTTGTGCAAAAGAAATATATTGTATCCCTATGGAATTAATGAGGTTGCTAGGTTGAAGCACAAATATTAGGTGTTTCAAATGCTAGAGAGAATTATATAGTCTATGAATAATGACAGGATTTTGGTCATAAATTTGGTGAAAATTTCTAAGGATTGTGCTTTGTCTTGTTTTTTTAAGGTCTTAATTGTGTCAGTTAGTAGTTATAACATCACTTTTTTGACTTTTCTTATAGCGTGCCAAATTAAAAGAGATTGCTGCTCAGCGTGCAAAGCAACTGAAGGAGGAGGAGGAGGAGAGAACAAGGGAACAAAAGGCAAAAGCTCTTGCAAAGTTGGAGGAACTGAACAGACGCTCAGCAGCACAAAGTATGAATCAAAAATTGAATGATGCTTTTTCCACAAGAAAGAGTGTGCAGCACCAAGAGGAATCTAGAACAGATATTGCTCAAACTGATGCTCTAACGGGTAACCCTCCAGGTGGTGTCCTAGTGGAGAATGCTGACATATTTCTCCAGGCAGGTGATTGTGATAACAAAGAACATGGAACATCAATTGCTTTGCCTTTAAATACGGTTTCACATCCGTCATCACTGGGGCATGAGACAAATACTACAGAAATGACAACCCATAATATTGGTTCACAGTCTCATGTGAGTGTTGGTTCCAAGCATAAACAGATGGGACATAGAAGAAGACAGAAAGTTCCACTGGAGAAAAGTTTAGGAGAGAAGCCAATGATGGAGAATGTGGGGTCAAAATGTCTAGATGAGGTTGTGCAGGAAAGAAGCCCAGATGAGAAGCCAGTCACTGCTGAGAACAAAGAGAGTCCAGAAATCATTGATGAGGTCAATACACCTGCACCAGATAGTGCTATGTTGCAACATAATGGGGATCCTTCTCTTCAGCACAAGAAGAAAAACAGTAGGAATTCGAGGAATAAGAACAAGGATGAGCCTTTAATGACTTCTAGTTTGTCCTTTTCAGCACATTCCCATGAAAATGTTGAAGAACGTCTGAGTGAAAGTTCCAAGTCTCATCTACCGGCATCTATTACAGTGACTTCATCAGTGCTTGCCCAAGTTTCTCCTGAAAATAGTGGAAGTCAAGACTCCAGGGATGGTGTAGTACATTCCAACCAAGGGTGTTCAAATATTATTGAGGAAGTTCATGGTAGGCTGAACAACCAATGGAAACCCCAACCACCTAGAAGGCCAGCCAGAAGCCAGCAAATTGTTAGGAACATGGACAAGGTCCATGGAAGTGAGACTGTTGTCTGGGCACCTATAAAACCTGCAAATAAGAATGAGCAACCTGAGGAAAGCAGTCAGAGTAGTATGATGGGAAGTAACTATGAGTCTTCACAAAGGAATGAACATGATTTACACAATGGTATGAGAACAAGGAGGGCTGAAATAGAGAGATATGTGCCTAAGCCTGTAGCCAAAGAAATTTTACAGCATGAGAACACACGAAAATCTTCATCCTATGTTAATCAGTCGGCAACGGGTGACATGCCCAATGAGTCTTACACTGATTCTAAAGGTGTTAGAATAGGTAAATTTGATGGGTCAGAGCCTCGGAGCACTGACTTCTTTTCTAATACAAACGGGGAGGATAATAAGCCTAGCAAACGCGGTAGGGCACATGCCACTTGGCGGCAGAGGAGTTCATCTGAATCTACATTACCTTTGCAGAATTCAAATGAAAGCTTGAGTTCTTCCGACACTAGTAAGCTTTTTAATAGGCCTTCTGGTCAGCATCAATTATTACCAGAACAAGTAAAATCTGATGGCTGGGAGAGCAGAAACGATTCTCTGGTGAAAGATTCAGGTGTCCTTCCCGCTGTGATTAAGGATCAGGGAGTAACAAGCAGGCAAAGAAATCAGCAAGTTCACAGACCTAGAGGAAGGAATTATGTCACGACTCCTGATCATCAATATTTGCAGCATGGAATGGATGATAAAGCTGGCGTTGGTTCTCCCATCTTGGATATAAATGAGACTGATACAAGAAATTCTACAAAGGATAATAAGAATGCTATCACTGAGCATATTAGAACTCAGAGTCACTGGAAACCAAAGTCTCAGACTTATTCTCACAATCAACAGCAGGGAACTACGGGCAGTGGAAGTCAAAGAAACCCTTCTCATGATGGCAGGTCCGAGAAGTTCACTTCTCCAGGCTTTGAGAGTAATTCTTCATATAACGAGAATGATAGTGCCCTGACTGAAAAAGATCATGTAGTCACAGATGCTGGTCATAAAGATTCTATCAGAACTGAGACAGGTGCTAGTAGTTCTGATCCATCAAAGGAGCAGATTCACATCCCAAAACCAGATGTGCCAATTGATACTGCTTTACCTCCAGAAAATATGAATGCTCAGCGACATGGACATCGCGGTGGGCGTTTTAACAGAGGTCAGGAAGCAACATATAGAATTAGGGATTCAATGCTAACTTCTGGAAGATCAAATGTGCAGAAAAATGGCGACAAGCGAAAGAACAACTCACACTTGGGATACCAGCCTGTGGGTTCTTATAATAAGCCAAGTGATATAAGACAGTTGGACTCTCACATTGACCAAGAAGCTCAGAGTCATCATGCTTCTAGACAGAGGTACAAGGAACGGGTTCAGACACAAACAAGAAACCCTGGTCACTTCGTTAGGCGGGATAGTGGTGCCACTGCTCATGTTAATGATTCTTGCAACAGCGAAGAATGAAACATGTGACAGGTGCATGCATGGATCCGTTTGTGCACAGCCGTCACAACAGGCTCTAAATTTTCTGCACGTATGCTTGTGGGTAGTGGATAGTTTGTGGAGTCGGGTGAAGGTCAAAGTTCGAATCAGTCTTATTTAGTTGTCAGCATGTTGGAGTCTGGTGACCGGCTTAAATCCAAGGACAATGACTTAGTATGATTTACTGTCTTCTGAAACTTGTTGGTTTTGACTTGCTTTTAGTCCCACTCGTTAGATACAGCTTCAAATTTTCGTTGAGGTAAAATTTCTTCCTGCCATGGGTATGCTTGCTGCTGCTGTTAGTCTTACCTGACACATTTGTTGTTTAACTACTGTAAGTCCAATCCTTGTGCCCTATGTGGAACCTGTGTACAGAAATAGACTTACGATTAAGGTGTTGCATTGTGTTTTTCTGTTTTCATTCTTCTTGATATGATTTTGGCACTACTCACATATGCAAAGCATTGGTGTTGCATTGTGTTTCTCTGTTTTCGTCCTTGATATGATTTTGGCAATACTCACGTATGCGAGCAGTGGTGTTGCATTGTGTTTTTCTGTTTTCCTTCTTCTTCATATGATTTTGGCACTACTCAGATGCAGAGCAGTGGTGTTGCATTGTATTTTTCTGTTTTCATTCTTCTTGATATGATTTGGCCCTACTCACATATGCGATCCAAGGCCCCCAAATATGGAGGTGCTTTCTTCTGTTATTTACTTCTGTTTTACTATGAATTGTCGGAGTAAGATTGATGTAGGGACAAAATGCCTTAACGATTTGAAGTTTATATGCTGTAAATCTTGGTTGATGCACTCTGCTTAATCTTGATACTAGTAGCTCGTCATTACCTGTGAAATGATTGAAAAGCCTCACCGAGGTCCGGAAGAATGGAACTTTCTCCTGGTTGCAGCCCGATGGCAAGACGAAGGTCACGGTCGAGTACCGCAACGACCATGTCGCCATGGTTCCTATCCGCGTGCACACTGTTCTCGTTTCCACCCAACACGATGAGACTGTCACCAACGATGAGATCGCCGCAGACCTCAAGGAGCATGTCATCGAGCCGGTCATCCCCGAGCAGTACCTGGACGAGAAGCCCATCTTCCACCTCAACCCATCTGGCCGTTTCGTCATCGGCGAACCCCATGGCGATGCTGGGCTTACCGGCCCCCAGATCATCATCCACACCCACTGCTCATGTTAATGATTCTTGACCATAGGCGGTCTTTGTTGACACCTACGGCACCGGCAAGATCCGTGACAAGGAGATCCTGGAGATTGTCAAGGAGAACTTTGACTTCAGGCCGGGGATGATCACCAGTAACCTTGACCTGAAGAGAGGTGGCAACGGCAGGTTCCGCAAGACAGCAGCAGCCTATGGTCACTTCGGCAGGGATGACCCAGACTTCACCTGGGAGGTGGTGAAGCCTCTCAAATGGGAGAAGACAGCTGCTTAAATGATTGGATATTGCCATCTTTCAATCTGCTACTGCTACTGCTGCTGCTGATTCTGTACTGGGAGTTCATGGATCTTTGAGGTACGTGTACTGGATGTTCATGGATCTAAAGTCCCCTTGATGCTTGCACTGTCTGTTTGCAGCCATGCCAGACTGCTCCTTTGTTGTCATTCTTGATGTACCACAAGTGTGACATTACAAGAATCCAAAATTTCTGGTAGCTAAAATAATTTCGTGGGATCACATAATTTCATATATAAAAACAAAATTTCGAAATGTTTTTAATATTCTTAACATTCTCGTAATTTTAGAGGGGTATTTGACAAGAATATATAATGATACATCATAATATCTCAATTATTTAATGTCAGTTACATACATCTCTTGTGTATTTGAATATTTATTTATTTATGATTTCTAGAGAATCCCCCTTTTCTCTTATTATAAAATAATATTCTTGATTATAATTTAAAATATATTTAAACCTTTATAATGAATTTTATACCTTCTTATTATTAACTCTCCCTGTACTCATCGTCTCATCTTTTCTAAGTGCAATATATCTATTTCATGTAATATTTTTCCTCTCATTTTATCCTCTAACAACTAAACATGATTGAACACCGTATGCTTTCTAAAACTTTTTCTCTTTCTCCATCAAAACTATAAAAACATTGCTAAGTTATAAGCTGAGGTAGAAATAAAAGAATTATAATTAATGTAAAATTATAGAGCTCATGAACATGAATCTTACAAGATTATTTATATAAATAATTATAATATTTTTTTAGTACATATTCATTAGCATTTTGTAAGTTACATCCCCATCGAATCCTTCTATATATCAAAATTTGTAATATGCTCGGACGTTAGAATATATTCTAATATGTATCAACTCTTATTTTCGTGTGTATGTATTGATAAGACCATTCAGTCCCACATTGGTTGAGGAGTACAGGAACTAAGAGCTCATAAGTCCGTTGAGTCTCCATTACCCTTAGAGGTGTCTTTTGGAACTCACGAGCTCCGAATGGGAACCCTAACCCCTTTAGTGCTCGATCCAAATTGTCCAAAGTGAATAATTCCTCGTAAAACTACGGGTTGCACCAATGCTGGCCTGACGATCCCTTATCACGTATGCATAGATAGGTAAGAGAGAACTTCTCAAAGTTAACCGCCTTTATCATCTAACGGTCGATTGCTGCTTTGTACTCGACACGTTGGATAATCAAAATCTATTTAATATATACCGACTCTTATTTTCTTATGTGCGAGTAAATAAACACGAGAGAATCTCGCGAGTATAACACCGTTAAAAGCGGTTCTCATACAACCGCCGGCTGACAACGGTCGGATAAACGATATTTCACTGATGGATGTTTAGTGACGGGCAACTGTAACCGTTCCAGTCGACGATAACGGTCCGTTATCTTGTTTACATTATGATCCTTTGGACCATGCATAACCCCGCTGTAGAGAGACGAATGGGAACCCTAATCCCAATTCGTTCCCGACTCCAGGCTCGGCCAATTCCGGATCCAGTGAGTACTATATCTTCCCAATCCCACTTTCTCGTCCTATTATTCGTCGATCGGTTTCTTGAACTGCAGCATAATTCGCAGCTTGCTGCCCTTCGTCTGTTTTAGCAGGGCGCATTGCCTGAGATCTGGATTCTTGATTACGTAATCCTGGCGTTTTTCTTGAATCTTGGAAATTGGTAACAGGATGAAGCTATGGAACCACATGAATGCAGATATTGTCAATTCCACTTAGATGATTTAATGCACAGTTAAAATTATTCTTAGTGTTCCCATCAATGGTTCCTTTTGAAATATGGAACGTGCCTAACACCAAGAGAAATGTCAGCTTATGACTATACTACAACTTTTTCATGTTCTATCTTATATTCTTATGTTTTCATGGCCAATTACATTACAAAATTATCAACTAGTTCAATGTTAGTGTTACAATTAATCTTGACACAAAAACCTGAGCTCTCTAGTCAAGTTATTCTTTGATATACTAGATAATACAATCTCCAATGCAATAGATACAACAGGATAGAAGAATGAGTTGCATGTGTCCTCATCTGTACGTTAACATAAGCGAGTTCAAGTTGTGCTAAACATAAGTTTTCCTATGCATTTACTAGGCACTGAAACACAATTTTCGTGGAGTCAATTATACAGAAATTATTAAATTATCTGATTAATGTTGTTGGGTCATAATTATTGATGGATTTTGTTTGCATTGTGAAGATACTAATCTATATTTCATCACCATAGGTTTACTTCAAACATCGACCTTAAATCATTATCTTTTCAAACTTATATCAAGGATTTAAATCTTGGTCCAACATCAGTTTCGATAATCTACCAGACAGGTACGGTACCTGTATACTGGTATCACCAGTGAAAAAAATTCAAAAGCGACTAACCAGTATCAGATCATATGGCCGGATATCATTATACCAGTCGATACGCATCTACTGTTCGAATTTGATACCATTCTTATGATAAATGAACTTACAAGACTATAAATAATACTGACAATCATTAGAAACCAATAGAACTAGACTAAGTGGGACTAAGACTGATCGTTGACTTCAACTTGGCAATAATAAGTGAAGATTAGAGAATTTAGTTGAAATTATTGGACCAAAGATTCCTAGAAATAGAATATTGGGATTCTTAAATCTTCTAGAAAAAGGGAAGATTGATGAAGTTATTTGCTCACAGAATTGAAGCAGGATGATGAAAATGTCAAGAGTTTTCATGATTGTGGTATGTCTCTTAGGTCAAAGGTAAAAAGTTTGCATGATTATTATATTACAAGGCAGACTATGTTTTATGGTCCTAAAGTGTTGGGTAGTTAGAAAACATGTTCAATAATTTAGTGTTGTGAAGAGAAGAATGCTAAGTTGAATTGGTGGAGTTACTATGAAAGATAGAATCAAATACTGGCACTAGTACATTAACCATAACTCGACTGAGGAGCCTTATGCATTGGGCTTTCCTGATCAGTTATAAAATAAGGAAGAACTGTCTGAAATGTAATATATCCAGGAGACCTACATATAAGGATTGTATAAGGTGAATCAATTGTTATTAGTAGTGTGCACCATGCAGTGAGGTACCAGAAGACCTAAAAGGCTAAAACAACTTATTAGAAGCAACAAAAATGATTCGATTGTTGTTGTCTCGACCAGTGATATAGCTCTTTATAAAGCTAAATGCCAGAAAAATTTCCATGTAGCTAACTGCACTGATTGGAACATTACAGTTGTTATTTTTATGCCAATTTACGGAACAGCATATTAGATTATAAATGATTTTCCCTGGTTTTTTCATTAGAGTTGACAGTTTGAAATTCTTTGTGGGACTGATACATCGCTGAAATTACCGAAGGACCCAAAGTTCTCAGTAAATACATGTCCTAAACTACTGTTGAAGTTCAGGAACCTCTTTACATATAGGCTTAGAACTTTTACCTGGTCTGAAAATTTAGCTTGCCAATAAAATAGGCAAAAAGGGTAGCGTATATGAAAGGAAAGGCAAGAAGAACTCCAGCAACAACTCCAAAAAGATTATGGTGAAAGCCAAAATAGTCTTTTAGGAAGGAAGCTATTGACTTGGTTTCACCAAACACCATCATCTCCTTCTGTACATCTCCATATTGTGAGCTAAATAGGCCATTTAATGTCCAGGACATTGGATTCAGGTAATATAACCAAATCCACCACTTTGGAATTTGCTGCAATGAAGCAAAGATTAGTTTATTTCATATAGTAATAAGCTACAGGTATGTTTGTTCTAGGACACTTTAACCTATTTTACCAAGCTTCCAGGTATATGCCTTTAAATATTAAGATGTTTGCCGATACCAAAAATTCATGTGAATTAACTTTTGGTTTATCAGTTCATAGGATGCTATGCTGTGGTATATTTGTTGTCTGCATATGTAGCAATTTGAAATATCCAAATGTTTAGAGATGAATTTGAAGGATGAGAGTGAATGGTACTTACAGGACCTGGCACAATGAAGCCTGAAAAGAGATTAAACAAGGTGTAACAAACAGAAGCCATTATTGAAGCCACTTGAACATTTGGAGTCAATGAAACCAGCAGCATTCCGAGGTAAACATAGTAGAGCAATGTGCATAACATGGTGTAAAAGAACCAGAATAACTTGGAGGCTGTCCAGTAGTAACCGATGGCTGGATACGCAATGATCATAAACAGTACTACTTCTATGAGTACATAGGGGATTTCAATGGCTACCTGAAACAGAAAAGTGTATATTGGTCAACATTCTGTAAATGATCTTCCTTAGTCTTATTGTAAATACACCATTAACATAGCTACTAAACCTGTGCAAGAGAGTAAGCCCATGGAGAGTACATTCCTGCAAAGTTTTCCCGATATAGGACAGTCCGTTCAATAGAAACAAATGGCAAAACTGGCGAGCAGTTATTTATTCCGGTGAAGATTGTGGCGAGATACATGATCGCCAATGTATTGAATAGATCTTGTTGATTGTTTCTTCAAGGGAGGGAAAAGAAATTATATCAGAATCCTGAACCATTGGTTACTTTAAGAACATGTTTAGAAGATAAGCGAAGCATAAATCCTGAAATCAAACTTTAAACTGAAGATATCAGATATTTGCAACTTGCAAGTATCATGCAAGACAACATGCCTAAAACAAGTCTCGAAGTTACTGTAGGATTCATAATCAAAGTTCCCATTTCTTTCTATTTCGTATCAGTATGATTATATTGATGGCAAGGGAATTACAATTTTAGATGTAAATTTATGAAGTATGCTGGGTAATAATTTGGTTTTTAATGCACTTGCACAGATTTTCTCCCCTTCCTTTCATTATGGAATATCAAATTTTAAGATCTATTTGGCTCTTTGATTGCTTGTTATTATGAGGCTCAATATTAGGTCGCAACCTTTTTTTTTTCTCCTTTTTCTAGGATGAATATCATCTATACTTTATTAGCTTAACTGGTCGTGCAAATTGTCAACTAATCAGAAGAATGGTGTTGCAGAATGACCCCCCACTAATGTGTGACTAAGAATGTGTGATGAGATTGTCGGTAGCTTTTGTTAGATTGCTAGTATTTCGGCTCTATATCTTGTAACTGCTTCCCCCATTTAATAGGAAATCTATTAAATTTTGATATAAATAAGAGTGAAGGAAAAAAAAACCCTGAAAATTACAGGTGGTAGGACAAAATTTCAATAGATTTTGGATGATAAAACGATGGGGAGAATAAGGGAAGAGAGAAAAGAAGAAGAAACTAGACTATTGACCAAATATAATAAATCATTTGTAAATTTATGAATAGAAGGATATTCCATTTTGTCATTGGCGTTTTTTTTTTTTAATTTGTGAACAGCTTGACAATATAGTTCTTTGAGCACTACAGTTAATCTAATATACTTCAAGAAAGTGTTGTTTGAGGTCACTTTTTCTGCTTCTCCTTTATAAAAAAAGAATCCTTCAACTTTATCTTGATATCTATTCGTATACTATGCATCTGAATATGGGCATTATGCCAGAAAAGCTCACTACTGATTTGCAATGATGCTTATTCCTCGTCATATTATATACCTCCACTTATCCAATTCCTGCTTTAAAGTGTTTAGTATATGAAAAGCAGAGACTTACAGTGTCTTCCCACGCTGCCAGAATACTATTCCGAAGATTATGGATGCAACAAGGATGAAAAATATCCGCACCATGTTATATGAAGGACTTCTCCAGTAAGACAAGGATTGTTTCCAAATGCAAGCTTTGAACTGTACCCAAAAATTTTGTGGATAGCGTGTTGAAAAGCTCAGGTCATTTGAATCCAGTGGTGGTGTGCTTAAGCGCTTAACCAGCTCTTTGCTGTCCCTGCATTGAGAAACGACCATAGAAGATTCTGGTAAACAATGTTATGCATATGAATAATGGTTTCATGCTGTTGGTTATTAATGCCATGCAGAGGATCATTAATAACAATATATTTTCCTGCTATAACATCAATTGCAGCATGTGTTATTATAGTTACATCAGCTCATGTTTGCTGCATAGTTTTAGATAGACTTTGATGCATACTTGTCAAGAGACGATTCTGTGTAGATCTTTGCAAAATCTACTCCTAGTTTCTTTTCCATTGACATAGAGGTGACTTCCAACATCCATGTCGCTGGATTGTAGTTATCTCTAATCTTTGGTACTCCAGAAATGCCCTGGCATATAAAGAAAGAGTAGGTGATTTTCACAGTATTTGATTTGTACACTTACTGTATCAAGAATGCCCTTTCCATAACCGCAAGCATTCAGTTCTCTTATCGTTGGTGATTCGGTGCTATTGTACATGATCCTGTTTAATGAATTCTCTGTTCTTGAAAAGAGAACCACTGGCTATTGGTCTTATGCAAAAACAGAAGAGGGTCAAATAATAATGTTTGAGTTTGGTAAAGACTTGCCTCAAAATATTCAATAACTTTACTTGAGTGCTTTCCTGTTGGTCCAGTGTAAATCAATTCTCCCCCTCTTCTCATTAAGATCAGCTGTGGAAACATGAAACAAAGATATTTCATAAAATGCAATAGAAAATTTTGCAAAAGTGAACAGTAAATTAAGTTATATTTGTATTTAATTTTATGAGTAGATTTCGTATTAACTAGATTTTGTGACTTCAGTCCAATTGTCAAGAATAACATTTGAACAAGTATTTAGATTTATTATGTTGTGTCTTGATTGGAAAAGATTTATGTTGCTGAGGCCAAATAGTTGTGACATCACAATTTGTTGTTGTATGTTATGTCATCTTGCCCATAAATTTAAGTTTGTTTTGCAAACTTTTGTAGTATTTTGATTATTTTCTTTCTTGTATATAGCATTGCATTACACCGGTCAAAGGTGGCCTTATATCTAATAAAAAACTAGGTATACTTTTTGCAAGTGCTAGTTATGATATATATATATATATATATATATATATATATATATATATATACTTCAGATGTTTACACATCTTCCAAAATGAAGGTGATAATAATCTAGTTACCTCATCAAATGCTTCAAAGATATCAATACTTGGTTGGTGGATAGTGCAAACTACTGTCCTTCCTGTTTCAGCAACATTTTTCACTGCACGCATGACAATAGCAGCTGCTCTAGCATCTAGACCCGAGGTTGGCTCATCCATAAATATAATAGATGGATTTGAAACAAGTTCTACTGCAATTGTTAGTCGTTTCCGTTGCTCAGTAGACAGACCACTGACCCCTTGTATCCCAACTAACGAATCCTTGATGCTGTCAAGCTCAATTGTTTCGAGGACTTCATGAACAAATTTCTGAAGATCAATACATATGCATTAAAAAGGATCTAACAGGAATTAGATATCCCACTGTTAAAAACCATTTTATATAAAATTGATGCTCTGACAGTTCTAAAGCCTTAATGATGTCAACAAGGAACAAAATAATGTGTAGAATATAGCTTACAGATCTTGTTTTTCCATCAATTTGAGGTGGCAGACGCAACCAAGCTGAATACATGACAGATTCTTCAACAGTGATTTGTGGAGAATGTATGTCAAACTGTTCACAGTAACCTGATATCCTAGCAAAAGTTTCTTGTCTCTTAGGATACCCTCCAATTCTTATGTCTCCTTCAATAGTTCCGCCAGTTTTTCTTCCAGCAAGAACATCCAAGAGGGTAGTCTTCCCTGCTCCACTTACTCCCATCAGCGCTGAAAGAATTCCAGGCTGGAAAGCTCCTGTGATATTGTGAAGCAGTTGTAGCCTTTTTTCTGCATGGACTTGTTCTCTCATTTCCTAGGACACAAGGCAAACTAATTATTATTTCCTTTCATAACCATCGGCCTATCTGATATGATTAATCTTTTTGCATGATTACCAGAGGAGTGTCAACATAGTAATTCACATTCTGAAATGTCATTGCTAGGGGAACGAAAGGTAAAACCATTTTTTCTGACAGATTAGCCATCTTCCCTGCCACATTGACCATGAAATTTTTATGTTATACCGTATTCTATGCGTACTATTTTGTTGAACTTAACAGCAGTAGAACAGTCTCACCAGTTCTTTTTGGCAATGTAGACCTCACAGGTGATCCAGCGGGAGATTCACTATTTGGATGACTTGTATCCTCTCCATTTTCCGTGCCTTGTATTTGAGAAAGCTTTTTAAGAGAGATAATGGCACGAGAAACCCCAACAGCTGTAATATAAAACTTGTTATTGCTACTAGGTTACCATGACAGAGAGCACATACATCAATAATCATTTATGGATAGGATAGTTGGACTAGAACTCACGTCTTCTGAAAGTTAATGACAAGGTGAATGCAACATTGAGTAGAAAAATCGATAGAATTAGTGTTGCTATCGATACCCAGTAGAAGTAGCTCTGGTAGTTTAGTCCACGGCTGGTCAAAACTTGCTGCCCTATTGTCATATTTGCTGATGAGACCTGTGGCTTATAGCAGTGACAGAAAATGGTTTAAAGTGTCATTTATAACTCATTAAGACGTAATGTGGTCTTATGTTGGTGGGAAGTATCATATTTCACCTTTTGCCATCTTGGCGCATGGAATTCATTAACAGCTAAGCCTATCTGTGTATAAGACAATGGAGAAATCCAGAATGCCCAACTTAACCAACCTGGTAAATAGGCTGCAACACAAATCAGGTTTGTTAGTTTTGTTCTTGTTATGCTATGCTGGCTTGATGATCTGAAAGCTGAAGCCGCCTTACGTTTTGGAATAACGAAGCCACCAAACAACAGGATTACTATCAAACACATTGTACCACTGATCGTAGCAGCCACTGCTGTTTGAAAATAGGAGGCGACGAAGCGAAACAGTGATAGTGACATTTGGTGGACGCAAAAGAGTAGGAGGAATTGGCGGAAGAACCTAAGAGCGTAAATAGAAACATTGGTTAAGTTTTCTTTTTTCTCAAAGAAGAAAAAAATACATTTAATTCTGAAAACTTAGTTGTTCTTACCTTACTGATTCAGGACTATATCCGATGGCATAGTAAGTAATTGATGTCCAAACTAATGACTCTACAAGAGAGATGGGTATCTTTAGGATAGTAGCTGGAATTGCATATGCCCATGCTGGATAAAAGTAGCAGTCTCGTTGCCTATAGAAGACTGGAAGTCTGGAAACTGTCATAGCCATTTCAGGAAATCCATTTACCATTAGTGAGATAAGTGCAAAAAAGAGGGAACCCAGATAGTAATTGGAATGGATCATGTCAACTTCCATATGTGTTCGTATAAATACAGTCGCTGTGATGATAGCAGCAATTCCAATCTGCAGTAGAGGTGATTCAACTACCTTAGCTGCTGATCATGAACAATATTGGAAAACATACCAAGTAGTAGTAGCTACCTGGGTTATTTTGAGTATATACACAAATGAATTCCTTTTCATGAGGAGCAATTCCCTCACTACGCAAGCTTTAAGTAGTTCCCAGTTTGACAATGAAAACTTATTAAAAGATAGAGCATTTTTATGGGATTGAGACATATCATATGGCTTTGATAATTCCTTGCTCAGACTCTGTCCAATTTGATAGACCTTGAAAGATTTAGAGAATTGATCTACAGAAACATAACTATGAATCTTATTTGAATTAAACCAATACTGTCCTTGATCTTTCCTTGACAGCACCTGAATAATAGCAAATCATGTTAGTGTGTACCATTTAGAGGATGTGGAATGAAATAATATTTATTATTAGTGAATTTGAGTTTGCAATTACCTCCTGGAGAAAATCAGCTACTCCTTTTCTCTCTGGGCATTTGAATCCACATTCTTCAAAGAAGTTCAGAATATGATTGCAAGGTCCTTGGTATACAATCTTTCCCTCTGCCATTAAGATTATATCATCAAATAGTTCATAGGTCTCAGGTGCTGGCTGAAGAAGTGAAACCACGACAGTAGATTCCGTGATGTGTGCAAATTGTTGAAGGCATGTAGCTATTTGAAAGGTCGTAGAGCTGTCTAAGCCAGATGATATTTCATCCATGAAAAGTGTTGTTGTTGGTCCAACAATCATCTCTCCTATAGAACAAATTGAACTTGTAAGAAAAGCTTTGTAGATTAAGTTTGTGCCGTGTTATTGGAATATGCCGCTGATTTATGAATCATTATCCTTATGAGTTAGCAAGAGGCAGCATATACTATTCTCTCTATTTTTGCTTTGACGTACCTGTAGTCAGCCTTTTCTTTTCACCTCCTGAGATGCCTCTTCTCATGGCATCCCCTACCATTGTGTCTGCACAAAGGTCCAGTCCCATTATCTGATAAGCAAGTCAAAATTGAATAATCAATTTCATGAAGTATGTTACAAATGCTGCTAGGATTATATTGCATTAATTTCTGGAAGTAAGTCATTGATTGCTGCTAGAATGGTGATACACTGTTGTAGAAGTTTGACTTGGTCCTGAGAAACATTACCTTCAAGATGTAATCTGTTTGGAGGCTTTGATCTAATCCTTCCAATGATATTGCCTGTACACAAAAATATGTGCTTAAATTTCTGGACAACATGATAATTTACTTGGATTTTATTATTTCATATTGAAAAGTATGTTTTCCCAGGTTTCCAAAATCTGAGAACATATTGGTTAAATTAAACTATATGGAATTGTATGTTACTTAATGATATACCTTCATGTAAGTGTCTATCTCAGGATCAGGGATGATTCCTGCCTGCTTCTCCCTTTGACTCACTTCCTTCATGATCTCTTTAGAATATATGCTCAGTAAGCATTTTGTGAACTGTGATGTATTGTATTTGAAGTTGTTGAAGGAGACATTTAGATCTAACCTGCTCTATTCCCAGCACCTTGAAAGCATGCTGAAAAATCCATTGTCTCTCGCACTGTCATCTCAGGAATATGTAGGTCATATTGGCTTATGTAAGCTGATGTCTTCTCAGGCACAAATTCTTCCAATCCGAAGCCATTGTAAGAAATTTCACCTGTCACCTGTGACATTAACTTGTTAATTCATTTAATTTTTTTTGCTTTCTTTCAACTAAGCAATAAAGCATTTTGGTGGAATAAACATCACCATGTTAATTTCTGTCTGAGAAAGTTTAGGTAAAACTAATTTCAATTTACATATTTGTACCTTAAATGAAATAAAAGATAAAAATTGAAAAAGCAAATATTTTATGATGTTGTGTTGTTTATGTTAGTAGGTTATCCTTAAGTTCTTTTTCCTTTTATTCTTTTTTCTTTTTTGAGGGGAAGGACATCCTTGTGATACTAAATGAAACAAAATAATTCAGTTGGCTAATCAAATTTTACGAGCTTACTAATATAGCTGCAAGTAGAAACATGTGTATTTTTCATCCACCACAAAATGCAGAGAGTGATGGTGATTTTAGATCTGTTTCGTGCTCAAAGGAACCAAATTGTAAGAAAACACTATATTAGATTATTATAATTTTTACAGATTCTATTGTGTTATATTGCTATCTGAGTATCTGCAAATCATATTTAATGCAAGAGTGCGAACTTATTGACTTATAATGAACTGATCAATGATTTTTTGCAGCAGGATGAAAGTCATGTGTCAGGCGAAAGCAAATTAAAAATGAAAATAAAGAAATTAATAGTGAGCAGTATCAAAGTCTGCTACTGATAAATGTTTTTTCCACAAAAAACAAAGATTAGAATGGATTAACATTAACTATGAAGTTCTAAGAAAAATAAAGCTTTATTTGCTTCTTATGATACTGTATTTTTAAATATGTTGAAGTTAAATTCATGGAAGGAAAACTGAATGCCATTCTATTCTCATTATCTTCTTTGATCTTTGCAGATGAGAATAACTGCTTATTGTAACTGTAACTAATTATTGTTTTTTCCAATCAGGCCAAAAAAGAGATACCTTGAGAGATTTGTCTAATTTTCCAGAGAGAGCTTTCAAGAAGGTGGTTTTTCCACATCCTGGAAGTCCAAGTACCAGAGTCATCCTGTAAACAATACACACCTCGGTAAGTAATCTTTCTATAGATTATACCGTTGATGGGATTCAACTATTGTTTTCTTTTGTATTATAATGTGCTTTTTTTTTAAATATTACTGTTTATGGATAAAGCATCTCTATAACTTCCTGAGAATTGAATTCTTAATATTTAGAGAAAAGGGCAATTGTTTTTTAACTTGTCGAAAACATTGAATTCTTAATGTTCAGAGAAAAGAGCAAATATTTAAAGCAATTTCTTTGCATTCTCTTGGTTAATACTTCTCTTAATACTTTCCTGGAAGGTTTGATGATCCCACTGATGTCTTTGAGGATGTGAATCTTAGCTTTGTGAGTCTTTACTCCTGGGACCTTAATGAGATCCTATTGAACAAAGAAATTTGCATTTATAAGCATTAGAAACATTTCTTCTCTAATGATATGATTCAATGCTCCTTTGTTCGAACAATGTTCAATATTTTGAATGTTGATAAATGATTGAAATCATAGTACCCTACTATAAACAAATGCACCACAACCTACATGATGGATGATAAGCATACAAAATTGGTCGATCTTCTTACTGATAAGATGCTTTTCGTGGTGTTCCACAAAGTTGGCAGGGGCTTCCCTTGAACCACTTCGCATTCTGCCTCTACAGACAGATCTTTGAATCGCACCTCTATCGTTGGCAGTTTCACATTTACCCTGGAAATAATTGTTCATGACTAACCTTGGTTTTTCTGAAATTGACAGTTATGCATGCAATGATATACACATGCACAACTTGGCAGTGAAGCTTACCTGTCTATTCTCTCTCTTTGTTTCTGTAACAGGCGAAGGTTATCACTTTCAATATTCTTGATGAGATTTTCGATGAGCAAGTGCCTCTCCAGTGCTCCAAGTTTGGTGACATCAATTACCTTCCTTTTGTTTTGTTCTCCAGAGCCATTGTCACCATCCCAATGATCAAAAACTGATGTTCTCACTCGTTCGAAGGTGGGTAGTCTTTCGACTGCAGCCCAAATCAACTCATTCTCGTCATCATCGTACCGCATGGAACTAACAGCGGAGCTTCTTCGCAAACTTGCCGTTGCAGTTCGAAATGATGACCTCATGCTCCTTCCTATCTCTGCTAGTTCAGCATCCAGCGACTCGGTTATGTTTTCGCCCAACTGAGCCATCCTTTAAAATGTTTCGGTGGAACAATTTTGCATACCAAAGGATCAGCTTTTATAGAAGGAGATCGACTCAGGTCGAAATGTGCAGTTAACGTCAGGTACCGTCCCAACTGTTAGTGTTTCAACTGTGTTCAAGTCTCCTAATAATCTATCTTTGACCACTACTTAATTAGTATTACTCAGTCAGTCCACATGCAAGCCCATAGAATAGAAACAAAAGAAATGCTTCTATATCTGTCAGATTAGCTTGTCGGATGATTATGACAATCCTCCCAACCATTCTAAGCAAAGGTTTTACTTGGTATTTTTGTGTGTAAAATAGGTTTGAAAATACAAGCTTAATCTGTGGTTTTTCCATCGTTAGTGGTTTGTTGTTAGTAGTTTGTTGCTGATCAGCAAAAGGGCAATTAATACCTTGACCCTTCTGCACTGGTACCTGATGGTTGATCTAACACCAACCATCATTTATGAACTTGTTCTTGATAGGGATGCTGATGCAAATTAAAAATAATGTTCTCTAGGGATATCAATGTGATATGCCATTTACTGCATATAAATTAGATATAAGCACAATTGTCAAAAGAAATAAGAGTGATATGGAATAATCACACAAGTGAATGGCACAAAACAACAAAAAAAAAAGGAAAGGTAAGGAATTGACGCCATGTATTAATTAAGACGTGACATGTGGTTCCTAGTCAAAGACCAGTTTTGCCAAAACAGAACCATTGTTTGAATCAAATTTAATATGTCGATTGTTCCCTGGCTGCCAATGGTCAGGACCACAAATAAAGACGGACTACTTTCTCGCACACTAAATATTTTTCTTTCATATCGAATGTCTATTGTCACCAGCACTAGTCCTAACAAAGAGCATGAGTTTTTTCTTCGTGATTCAAGGACAGACTTCTGTTCAAAAGAATGGCATAATGGCTTCGACTCATCCAGTTAACAATCAAAATGGACATTAATATTAACAAATATACCGTTAAAGAATTCTAGCATCATCTCGAATAGAAAGGTTCAAGGTTTGATCGATCCCAAAAGTTAACTGAGTTGACTGAAATTATAGTTTTGCCCTCAAAAATTAGCCAATTGGCCGAGACGAAAATATACAAGAGATTTTTCAGCACATCCAAGTATCAAATTTCATGGCACCAAATTGGATGAGTAAGCTTTTATCCACAGACTATTATCAAGATCGTTTTGGAAACATTGTTAGCCATCGACCAACAAAACTATTGCCGAAAAGCTCTTGTAGGACATAAGAGGATATGAATTGCACCAGCTGTTGAACAGCCACAAAGGATCCGGAGTTTGTCAGTTTTCAGAACCAAACTCAAGCACTGGTTCCACTACTTCGCCAGAAAGACTTGAATGGAAACTGTGACAACCAAGAATCTGAACCTTCAGCACTGTTTGCGATGACACCATCCCGCCAAAATTTAATAACATGAAGGCTCTCTTCTTCTGTGGACCTCTGCACGATAATCCGTGATGCATAGCCCTTTTCTTTCATCATTCGGCAAACCTGTGTGGGGTTATTCGCAGTTAGAGTGACCATATATAGCCAACCTTTTTCTGACAGCAGTTCATCAGCGACAGGAAAGATTCTATCGATCACCGTACGACCATTCTCTCCTCCAGCCCATGAAGCTGCGATCCCCTTGCAACCAACCTCTTCCTCGGGAGTAGGCACATAGGGAGGATTCACAACAACCACATCAATCATGCCCGCAAGGCGTTTCCGAAGACCAGATGCAATATCGGTCGAGATGACTTCAGCGTGCAACCCATGAGCTTCAAGTGTTTCACGAGTTACTTGAGCTGCATCTGGATTAATGTCTGTTGCAAAATAATGGACCCCGCAGCCTAGTTCACCAAGCATGATGGCTAAAGATGAGATTACATAGCCACTTCCACAGCCCAGTTCCATGCATAAGCTTGGCCGGTGCTCTATCAGATGCTCTCGATCAGCTAATAGTGCATCAACCAGCGCAAATGAGTCATCGCATGGCTCATACACCTCTGGGTGGCAACTGACTAGTCTGATCTGAGCAGTCCTAGATACCTTCATTAGTAATGTCTGCAAAAAGAAAAAATATTCACAACCACATCTTTCATGAAGCAATTCATCCTTCATCATGAAACTGTTTAGATAACAACCGAATTTAAGTGCCAATAATGATGTGTCCAGAAACCCATCTCTTGTCGGAGAATATAATGAAACAATATGCATGGTGTTTATGGTTGCAGCTTACAGATGGTTTGCTCATTTCCTCATGGAAGAATTCATGGATACCACACTGATATTATGGTCCATGATAGCTACTCAAGTAAAAAACAAAAAGAAAAGGAATAACATAGACATTATCCCAGTCATGCAATATCTAACATGATGCCTCTGCATATATTTTGATTTTGTATCCCTTTCTCCGTTAGTGGTTCGTTTCGGCTTTTAAAATATTACATTGCATAACTCCTGAAATTTGTCATGATACAACTATTTAAAGCTCAAGTTACATTTACATAACAGAAAAAACAAAAAGCACGGTCAAGCTATGCTGAAAGGCAAAAGTAGTACATAATAAAGTCATAAATGGCGTTTGTAAAAGACAGTGGAATCTAAAGAATAGTATTGCACATCTCTAAGGAACAAAAGAAGAGACCTATAAGATATAGCAACCATCTAGACATACCACTTGGGAACCTGGACACATATTTACGAGGACATGATAATAGTGATGTAGGAATAGATAACAAATAACTGCCGATGATGATGAAACAGAAAACTACACGAAAAGAAGTTTCACCGCCTAATACACACATCCAAGTTTATGAATTATGATCGAATTTGTGACCATGATCCAGTCTCAGAAAAAAGTAACTAGGTTAGTAGTATCAAAATAATTAAATAGCCCCGTGATGTAGACAGGCAACATTACGACACGCCTTGGTAAATATAGAATTCAGCGAAGAAGGCTCTGCCAAAATACAAGGCCCATGGAGGAACTTTCGCCATTTACTATAAATTGGTCAAGCCAATCTTGAAACAAGCCACTATGTTTTTGACTCTGGATATGCAAACTGAATATCTTTGCAGATGTCCATTTAGTTAAGTCATAGCAAGTAATGATTTTCATCTTACAAATGAAAACATGTTTTATTCTACTAATGGTATTTTAAAGTAGAAATCTAGATTTGCAGACTCAACAGCAGCCGAGGATGAAGAAGTTGTGCTTGTCAAATATCAATGATGATGATGCTGTTATGCCTGCAAATGCAATCATATTCGCAATTGTTTGGTACTGATCTAATGCATATCTTTTTCTGAAATGTGGTATTGACAGTGAGCAAATACATTCACTAGAAACATTTCATCATGGATAGAGATTTGAGATCATTCATATCCAATTTATGGCACTCGAGCTAAAAAATCCTTTGCATTAGCATCCAAAACACCATCATCAAAACCCCTTTTTTTCCCCCCTTAACATATAGTAAGTAATTCTTCCCCCTTCGCATCGTTGTAATCGAGATAAACAGTTGTTAGATTATGTATACCAAACCCCCTTCATCCAAGAACGAAACCCCTGCAAACGATCTACCCGAATGAAACCTGTATCGAAAGACTTGCCAGGGGATGGATGCACCAGCTACGTCACAACCTCGGAAGTCGACACGTCGGAGGAGAGGGCGCGAGACGACGGCTCAGGGAGGGCCGACGCCGCGGGATGACCGGCGTCGCCGCGAGGGAAGGATGGCGCGGGGTACGACCGATCGAACGAACCGGGGAATCGCTAGGGCTTGGAATCCAATTTGGGCCGCGGCCTTCCTTATCTAAACTGGATAGAAGGTACAGATAACAGCACCGGAATCCCACCTAAAAGCTTCGTGACCCGACGTGGCCCCCACATGTGCTGGTGGGTCCCGAAGTCAACCAAAAGCAAAGGAATCACGTGACGTCCACTGAGATACGAGAAATTAGAACGCAATCTGACACCAAACTGAAAGGAGTAAAACAAATTGAATTTGATTCGTTCAGTCTTCATTCGATTTCAAAACATATACTTTGGAAGTTATAAAAATATATTATTTTTATAATTATACGTAATAATAATATAGACAATCGACTCGAAAGGTTTCGATTGTAAATATTGCATTGCAGGTGAGAGAGATTAACTCGACGTTTGGTGGGCACCGCAAACGCTCTCTGTCGGCAGGATATATATATTTTTTCTCTTTTTTTTGTCATTTATGAAATAATTATATAAACAGGTATTGCAGGTTATTGGTTGTGTTTCTTAAATGCTTCTATTTTATGCTTTTGATAATAATCTTCTTAATCACAGTTTAGTGAGCAAAAAAGAAGAAAGCTAAAAAATTAGATGAAGGGGTGTGGATATTGATTGTGTAAACAACTTTAAGCCGTGGCCTCGGGGCCGACGCGGCTTGGTTCGGGTCCGGATGACGGAAATCTCTCAGGGGGGGTTCCTTGGGACTGCAGAGGTTGCCGACTTGGGTCGGTTCGGTCGCGGAGGTGGGTCGCTGTTTCCTTTGGGAAGGGGCTCCTCGCCAATGCGTCCGGTGAGAGGCGCCTCGTCTTCGTTCCTGCACACAGGTCGGGTCGGGATGCTCGACCCGACCCCTCCGATGATCAAGTTAGTCAGGGGTCGCAGGAGTTTTTCCCGTGTTTGCTGTCGTTTTTCCCCCTTTTCCTCTTCCCTTTCGTTTAGAACGCAAGGGTATTTATAGGGGAGTTTAGTGTCACCTAACGTGCCTGCTCGCAGGGAGTAGGATCGTACCTTCTGATGACGTCTGACATCATTGTTGGCGTGGCGTGAAGAATCAAGCCTGAGCGGTTCTTAATGGGCCTCGGTTGGCGTTTCGGCCTGTGTCGGCCAGGCGTTGTCAGCCCGACAGAGACGTGGGGCGTTAGCTGATGTCACGCAAGTCTTATCGTAATTATCACCCTCATCAGATATAATAATAATAATAATAATAATAGCAAATAGAAGAAACGAGGAGGGTGTATAAGCAAAAAGGAGATGCTTAGCGATGTGAAAAGAGCAAAATGGAGGGGGCAAAATGCATAGGAAACCGAGTTGGCGTCGCGTGGTCAGCCAGCTGCGTCCGTCGCCGCGTCGCCGCGTTCAGACAAGGACAACGGACTCGCTTTTCCAGCTGTCCTCACTTACTCGCTGCCTCGTGCCACTGTGGACTTCTCTTTCCCTTTATGACCCCGTAAATGCTCTTTATTTCTCTCGTAAACCTGGGAGTAAATAAACCCACAGCAGCTTTAGATTCGCCTCGAATCCATGGGTCATTTTTGGTCCGGATTTCACTGCGCATGTCTCCATATTAGCACCCAACTTTAGAAAGGATAAGTCACGCTGGATTTGTATGATGAGATTTTCCTATTCTTTTGGCTTTTCTTTTTGATTTTTTTTTTTTATTTTAAGAGTTCGAGTGAGTCGGAGGAGATGTGTGCGGGTACGACATCTTGTCCGAGTTGGAGGGTCAAGAAATGGAGCCCTCGAAAGGCGTTTCGAGTTCTAATACACGGCGATCGAGGTGGAAAATGTTCGATAAGCTCGAACGAAGTAAGAACCGAACTCTTCTCTCTCTCTCTCTCTCTCTCTGTCTCTCTCTTTTTGTTTGCTTCTTTATCTCCAGCTGTGAAAGGAGGGAGGAGGAGGAGAGACTCCTGTGCAGAAATGTGGCACCTTTGGTGAGCTCTCCAACGTCCTCTTTTGCTCTTTGCTCCCGCATTCACAGATGGCGGAGATTGGGTTGGAGATTTGCACTTGGGACCAAATCTTTCAGTAGATTTGCTCCGAATCTTCGCTCTGAAATGCTCTGCACCGAATTCAATCAGAGTTTGTTTAGCCATTTTGCTTCTGTTCGCGCTTAGACATTTCGGTGGGGTGGATTAATTGTTGGATGGGGGCGATGCGATAGCTTCCTGAAACCACGAAATCTTTGATACTTCTTTCTTGACTGCTGCGGTTTCGACAGGAATCAGAGATTTTCTTGATTTTTAGGGGAAATTTTTTTAGATTTTCCTAATGACACAAGTGGAATGACTGGAGAACTAACATCAAAGTTCAAGTATGTTGTCACGTAGAACTTCAATTTTCTTTAAACTGATGGAATATGGATTGAAGTTGAGGCTTCATATGTAACACTGAACCTTTTCTAAGATACGCTAGATATGGATAAGACCTGATCCGAGTCATGTCTGCCTGGTGGTAAATGTTAGATAATATCTAATATCCTTTAAGAAATTGACCATTGATACTACTTGCTAGTTTTGGCATGAGTGTCTGCTATAAAATCTGCGAGGACCTGACAGGGGAAAACTTGCAGCAGTTCCCTTTGAGCATAGTGGATAGCTTGGCATACATCCTGGATTATGCATGGTAACTTTTTGTGTTTATTCATCCATGGATTAACAATCAGGTTTTTCTAGACTTGTTGTCGTTACATAAGATTTGATGTTCAATGTTTGCTAGATTCGCTCACATAATTAGTTTCTCATTATGCAGTAAATGCGTAATTTTAATGTTTAAGGTTTGATAGATTGTTCATGCCATTATTTCGTCGTTAGTGAGTAAGTGCACAAGGTTTAAGATTTTACTAAATTCATTCATGTTATTGGTTTCTCATTACCGGGTGCACATGCGATTTTCAATGTCTAAGGTTTTTTCTAGTTTAGGTTATGTTACTAATTTGCCGTTAAGGAGTATATGCATAAAGTGTAATGCTAAAGGTTTGCTAGATTTGTCTATGCTGTTAATTTGTCACTGACTAGTAAATGCCTATGGTGGTTATTTAAAGCTTGAGGTTTGATAGATTCATTTATATTATTAGTTTGGCATTAGCTAGTAAATGTGTATGCCCGTAGTGCAGGTCGGTACATCTATTGATGTTATGATGTCTTGTTATCATGATGAACATTAGGGGGGAATTCTGCAGCACTTTCTCTTTTACAGAGCTGATGGGTGGGTGTATGATGGAAATTTCATGACTTGAACCGTAGATTTATGGTGTTTCATTCAACGTCCATCATGTTCATCCTGTTTCATTGATTAATCTAGGGTCTAATAGTTGCTCAGTGAATGTTCATCATTGGAATGGTTCCTACCTGAAAGAAGAAACTCAGGGGGACTTGCAGCACATTAAAATCTTATTCACTTAGAAATGCTTGCTGTAGGATAAGACATTTAATTCTTGCTGCTTATCATTTAACTCAGGAGGTCATTTTTTCTTTTCCAACTTATGTGAAAGGCCATATTTTTAAACTTTATGAGTTATTAACTAATTAGGGTGATCTAGTGTGCCTTTGAATTTCTCAGTCACATGTCGCATTGTTTAATCGAAGAATATGCTATTGCAAACTGTCAACTCAGTTCATTGTGTAATGTGATTCGAGCAGATATCACATCATTTGATAGAAAAATCTACTTGTATCATGCAGGTGAAAGGAAGAGGATTACTGCATCATGACATTTTGTAGATTGGATAAGAGCAGGAAGAGGGCTTAGAAACTGATGCAAAGGTTCTAAACACTGAACTTTGTGTGAGTTACCATCTTTAGTTACCAGCTGCTGAGAATTAAAATATTTTGCAAATATGAGCATGCCTTCCTATTCTGATTTTGTTGGTGTGACAGGTTCTCCGTGGAGCACTTTCTCCAATCATGAAGGTTACCAATATAGTTTCTGGCTCTCATGGAGTGACAGTAGGTGATGAAGATTTAGCTAGTCCGATGTCAATATTCCTGAAAAGGCAAGTTGTGGTCGCAAATTTCCTTCCGCTGCATACCGCTCGGGATAAAACAACTGGAAAATGGTGCTTTGAGTGGGATGAAGATTCTTTACTCTTGCAGATGAAAGATGGGTTTTCCCCTGAAATTGAGGTCGTCTATGTAGGTAGTCTGAAGGTTGATGTAGATGCAGAAGAGCAAGAAGAGGTTTCACAAGAGCTCTTAGAGGAGTTTAAGTGCATACCGACTTTTCTAGCTCCTCATCTCCAAAGAAGCTTCTACCATGGCTTCTGTAAAAGACATCTTTGGCCACTTTTTCATTACATGCTGCCCATCAGTGCGGCACAAGGTGAGCTCTTTGATAAATCTCTTTTCGGAGCCTACATTTCTGCCAACAGGATATTCGCTGATAAATCCGTGGAGGCAATGAATTCAGATGAGGACTATATTTGGATTCATGATTACCACCTCATGCTTCTACCAATTCTCCTAAGGAAGCGGCTGAGTCAAGTCAAGCTTGGTTTTTTCCTTCATAGCCCATTCCCATCTTCAGAAATCTATAAGACTCTTCCTGTTAGAGATCAACTGCTTAAGGGGTTACTGAATGCTGATGTAATTGGTTTTCAGACATTTGATTATGCACGCCACTTCCTTTCTTGTTGCAGCAGGCTGCTAGGCCTAGATTACAAATTTAAGCATGGGTACATAGGAATTGAGTATTTCGGCCGTATTGTGAGCATTAAGATTGCTCCAGTTGGTGTTCATGTTGGCCGGCTTGAGAAACTTCTAAAATGTCCAACCACAATTGCCAAGGTTCAAGAGATTAAACAAAGATTTAAAGGGAAGACTTTATTTCTTGGTATTGATGACATGGACATCTTCAAGGGTATGAGTTTGAAGCTTTTAGCATTTGAATTTATGTTGCAGAGGAATGAAAATCTTAGAGGTAAGATGGTCCTGATTCAAATTGCTAATCCTCCAAGAACAGTGGGAAAAAATGTGATGGAAACAAGAAATGAGGTGATCTCAATTGTCGAAAGAATAAACAGTGTCTACGGTAG